GATAAATTACATAAGAACTAAAATAAGCTTCGCGCTCCTGAGGAGCTCTATACTATTTATAATGGGGTGCAGATCGCTGCGCAAAGTTCAATTTATTGACAACTCTATTAGCACTATTGTAGAGGAAGGAAGGCTAAGATAAATTAACTTTACGATTGCAATTTGTCAGAGTAAAATTATCTGTCGAATTCTGGTGAACCGAGCGAGTACAGAGGCATGTGAGAGGCAAGTATAGCTTTTTTCGTTGTTTCTCTTGTAGCAATTTAGAAAAGGCCTATGTGATCAATCCCTGTGTTTTGAACGGGACTGAATCATCAGATGGATCGTCGAATCGATTTGGCGGCAAGTCAGCCGTTACTAGATGTAACCCTCTGCAGAAAGCAATCGTTCTGAGTGGATAACGGAGCCCAATGATGACAAAACTTTTTTGCATTTAGTTGCGAACATACTGTGCCGTGATGCATAAAATGGCATTGAGCGCTCTCGATCATCATGCGCACAATAGGTTCTTATGCGTTCAGGATTTTTGGATGCTTTGTTGCGTTTGATAGAGGTGAGTTCCTTAGTCGTCATCGCGCGCGAATAATATTGTTTTCGAGAAAAGACGAGAACTGTTTTAGTCTGTATTTGTTGTCAATTTTCTTTTCTGTCGTCGAGAAAAGGGGGAACTGTTGTTGTATGTTTTTTTTGTCAACTTGCTGCTTGGTTTGTGGGTTGCTAATAAAGGATAAGCTTGTCTTATTCCTGGTCTTCCATAGTTGCTGAACGTTTCCCGTTTCCTTTAACGCATGGTTTAAAATTACAACGCGAGCCTTGATCAAAACTAATCGAAACCCTCTGAAAACCGGGAAGAATCGATTAGTTGAGCAGTCGGGGGGCTAGTTGTTGTAGCTTTATTTTGTTCCATTTTCTTTTTGATCCCCCGAGTAGCCTCATTGTGGCGTAGAAAATCTCGTGCAGCCAACCAGTGCTTCGTTACGTCTTTGAGTATAATTCCCCTAGTAGCGTTGACTACTGGGCTGAGTTTATTTTTGTGAAGTAAATTGTGTCTGAATTGTCTCTTTGGCTCAGAAGTCAACTTTTTAAAGCTCGCGTAAATCAGGATAATATTTTAATATTTTACAGTTTTTTTTGATAGTTCATTTGAAAGACAATTTGAGTTTGAGTTTATCATAGCAACCTCATTTTGCTTCGTTTTCTGGGCGGAAAAATTTTTGTGATTCGAAAGGCATTTTCATTCTTTTGAAAACATTTTTTTCGGTTCCACAGTTGTCTGCTCGAGTTTTGTCTGCTTTGTTAAGGCTTCTTAACTTTATTTTGATGCACAGTTTTATATTCAATTGTTTCAATTGACATATTTGTCTCGAAATGAGTTAAGTTCAAGTCAATTCGAAACAAATATATCAAAGTTTCTGTAGTTCTAGCTTTTTGAGCCATTTTTTCGACGGAGTTGCTTTCGCCTATTTTTCTGTCGACTGGTTTGCCGTGCTATCTTTGAACGGTATCGCAAGCGGTGCGAAACTTCGCTCTGCTCCTGTCTGGAAACATGATGACCTTGTTATGAAACTTAGAAGTTTGCGGGAGATAATTCAATTCAACCAGAAGAGAATTTCTAAAACTGTAGTATGAATGCGAGGAGGCGTGACTGCAAAGCTTCAGGTCGAGGAATCGATTACAGCTGGAGACAAAAGGATCAATGAATGTAATGAGCATTTTATACGTATTGTTTTTTTTTCCAGGATTAAGTTTTTTTTTAATTGTTAGCTCTCAATTGTATCTTTTTGCGGTTTGAGTTCGGATTCCTTAAGTTCACTATTTTACCTTTGTGTAACGGAAAGCAGACTCCACATCAAAAGCACACATAAACAGCAGTAGTGGTCATGAAAAACGTGATCGAGTTGTACTTTCGAAAATGGAATTTACTTATCAGGTTTTCCAGTGAAATAAAAAATTTTACCTATTGATCCAGTTTTCTCAATTGAATTAATTTTATCTAAAAAAAGCATCACTCTTAAATTGTTAGTGGAATTCATTGACGTTTAAGGGTATTTATTATTTTTTTAAATTCGGAAGTTTTTTCCTGTTTCCTGGCGTTTATTACTCTTTTCATTAATCTTTACTTTTGTCAGTTGGCTATGTTTTATTTTTCTTTTTTCATACGTTACTTTTTTAAACGATTTTTCCGCCTCTTATTGCTTGTGTGTTGCGACGCGCAGCTCAATTTTTTCTCATTTTTTGACCTCAGTTTTTGCAAAGTGTTTTTCCGGCTCTTTGTTTATCTTAGTGTCCGATTTAAAATGAGGTGACCTTCCGTAACAGTCGACATTTTGCAGAAGCATACCGAAGTACAAAAGCATTTTCGCGGCAGTAACCACGTCATGCCTCACGGCATGGCTCAAATCTCGTAGAAATCTTCTTCAAAAGGAACATCGTTGCCCAATTCGTGTTTTTATTCTGGGAACGGAAAAAACCAGCGACTACGTTCACCTACCATACTGAAACCGGGCAAAAGCAAAGATGAAGCAAAAAATTACTGACCCATAGGCCTCTTATCCCCAGTAGCGAAATTAATTAAAAGAATCTTACTGGATAACTTCAACATCCCACTAGCAGGTCACCAGCCCGGATTTCGAAAACAGGTCAACAAACACTGCCTTACACTGCATAGCCACTGATTTAAGAAACGGATTCAATCAACCTCGTCCTCCACACAGGACACTCCTAGTCGCTTTTGATCTTACTGCAGCTTTCGACACAGTGGATCACGGTATCTTGCTGCACGATCTTGAAAAGTCGTCTCCTCCAAACAACACAAATAGATGGATAACATAATTTACAAGTCAGGGCAACTTATGTTGATTTTAGAAACAAAAAATCATAAATGCGACGAATGAAACCAGGTGTACCTCAAGAAGGAGTCTTACCGCCTATTCTGTTCAGTATTTAGATGTCATCAATGCCCCTTCGATCTGCCAAAAACATCAAAGTAACAAGATACACAGATGACTTCTCTATCGCCACCACTGGTCCGAAAACCACTGAATCTGAACTAGAGGTACAGCCCTATCTAAGTACTCTGTGCACTTGGCTTCAGAAACGCAATTTAGCAAACCTGGAACAACGAACTGAAGCAAACTAATGTGATCATTGAAAGCAACCCACTACCCACCATTCAAAAACCTTAAATTCTAGGAGTCACTTTTGATAACCTCTTTACTTTCACTGAACACATTACCACAATGGTAAACAAACTCCAAACACGCAATAACACACTGAAGAAGCTGTTAGGCACAAGCTGGGGATGCAGCAAAGAAACTCGAAGTATCACATGTAAGGCCATTGGACGTAGTGTTTTGAATTGCGCAGTTCCTGTAATGACACCTTCAGTAAAAAATTCTCGTTGGAAAGACCTTCAAACTCGAAGAAACACAGCTTTTAGAATTGTAATCGGCTGCACATAAATGGCCTCATTGAGCACGTTCATTGTGAAACTCAGATAGTGCCAGCAAAAGAACACTTAAGCAAACAATTTCTAACTGACTCATCAACAAGAACGATGTGACCACCACACAACTAAACACAACCCGATATCGAGACTAATAAAACCAACCCTTGCCGAAAAATACTATGGCAACATCAAAAAACATCTTGATGAAAATGATTGCGTAACGCCAGATCAATACAAAGTCGCTCAGAAACCAAACATCCCGCTAAACTGGCGCGCTCTCAAACTCCACAAATAGCTTCGGAAACAAAACAGCCGTCCCAGAAGTTCACGAAGTTCACGACGAGTTATGAAATTGTTAATGAAAGTTTTTAGAATTTGTGTTTTCTTTTTTTATTCATTTTTTGGACACAACTCTTGTCTAATATGTCTAATTCTATTTTGTTCTAATATTCTTCGAACTCGTACAAATCTCTCATCACAACAGGCACAGAAAACGACACGCACTTCAAAAAGAAATTACCTTTTTCTGTAGATTTTTATGAATGTAGTCGGATTATTTTGTGCTACTGGAACAGCAACGGGCTATCCCTGTTGTGAATCGTCGATTGTTGCAAATTTTCAACTGTAACGAATTCTTTCTCCAACCCATTACGAAAGCTCTGTCGGATGCAGATTCCAGAAATAGTTCATTCCATGCATATTTCTGTTTTCGAAAAATTCAACATAGACCGTAATGGATGAAAATGAATCTTCATTTTATCTTTTGTTCATTTTAACAACATAAACATTTGATTAGTAGGCCTACAAAAAGCTTAATTTTTTGCAAAGATATGTTTGGAACATTCTGTGCTATAAACAGCACTCTTCTTGGATTTGCTTTGCGGGCGTTGCACTCAATGCTTACAAGTACACGATCAGAGACAATCATGTAATTGTTTTAGAAGCCGTGAAAGCCCCTGAGCCGAAAGTGGATCCTTCTGCTACATCTGGAACGGTCGAAAAAGTCGACCTTGATGAAGTAATAGAAACGTTTAGTGAACCTACTAGCAGTGAAGAGGATGGTTCTACAATTGAATTGGAGGTCGAAGAAGCGACTGAATCAGAAGATACCGAGTTAATTGACGAAGAAGAGATCTTAGAACCAGGAAAATCAACAGCGTAGAAAATCGGAGCCAATTTTGTTGTTCAATTATTCTTTTTTTTTGTATAAAAATGTGCTGAGCACAGCTGCTAAATTCAAAGTTGAAATTCTGCTGTTTTAATTCTGCAGTATTGATTATTGAGCTCAATTTTTTAAAATCAAAAACACGGATTCTCTTCTAATGAGAAGGAAGCTTCGAAAGCAAGGGTAGAAAAGTTTACGCTTTTGTGAGATGGTATGTCTATTATATGGGGTTGAATTTGTTGACTCGCCCTTAAGTAACGAGCGCGGATCATGGGGAGCCTAGACGACTTATCTTTAAATTGAAACATTTTGGCACTAACTAGGCCTTTGCCTTACTATCCGGTACTTACATTTCTAAGAAATGTTTTGTGTTTGCATTTCAGAGCTAATATGTACAGTTGTTCGTCTGAATCATTATTAAAAATGACTCGCCTCTCGCTTTTTCTGCTGAATGAATGACAGTGAGGGGTTGTCAGTTTGGCCTTTCAAAGGCAAACTCCCCTCCGGTCTCCCATGCATCCCATCAACCGACTTGTTCTATTCCAAAAGTCTTCCTACCTTGCAGACGTCTATCTCTTTTCGTAGTATCAGTTCTTACGCTAGTAGCGTCATCACGAAGTGCAATTCCTTCTCAATACTCAACTGTGCACGTAGCTGACATTCGAGTGCAATCACTTCCATATGAGGAAACTGTCAGACATCGTGCTTACAGGTCAACTATCTACTTGAACAATAACCGCCTTAAAGAACCCCAGTGGACTAACGAATCAGTTAAACATATCTCATTTGAAGCCTTGAACCGAACATTCAATTTAAAAGTGTGGCCGAAAGATCAGTCGGCCGAACATCCAGAACTTAAAATTGATATTTTGAACCAATCAAATCATGTTTTCCAACAAAACAGTCTTCATCATGTTTCTTCAATCTTTCTCGTAGGAATAGATATCAGTCAACCAAAAAACAGTTCAGTATCATTATACATGGACGATTCAAAGTTTCTGACTGGATATATTAGTTACAATGATGGCCTTGAAAATATCTTCATTGAACCGGCGTGGAGACACAAACACAGTGACAGCATAGGAGTGAAAGAGTCTTGCTCCATGTTGGTGTATTATGAGTCGGGACTGGATAGTGAAAAAATGCGGTTCAGTGATCCGCCGTCTGAGGGGGAAAAGTCTGGCCATAGAAGATCTCAACAAAAAGGAGGCGGTCGAGGTTTGTGACAAAAATTAAAACTTTAGTATTAACCCCATCCCCTCAAGTATTTTTGGGTTCCATGTCTTTTTACCCTATTCCATTGTACCCTATACTATCCTACCCTATGTTCCTATCCTACGCAATTTTACTTCATAATTAAAGCAATTCAAACTTACTCCGTCTCTTTGAAGAATCCGAAACAGAAAAGCTGTATCAGTTTCAATTTATTTAATTAATCAATACTAAGACCATTGCTGTCAAAATGTGAACAGTTATATCTGGATTATATTGGTCAAAGAATACATGTTTCAGTATCGCGATCGTCTGATGCATATATGGGCGAACATACAATCATCTCGGACGTAAGGTGTCCCCTTCTGCTTGTGGCTGACTTCAAATTCTTCCGCAAAATGGGAAATTCGAATTGGGAGACAACGGCGTCTTACCTCATTGGGCTCATAGACAGAATCAACCAGATATACTTGAATACAGACTTTAGTTACACTGAGCGGAACGGACGCAAGCATGATATAAAGCGAGTCGGATTCCAGATCAAGAGGATCATAATTCACAGTGGGCCTTCTCTCACGCCTGGACACTACAATGCAGACGAAGTGTGGCGCGTCCAGGACCTACTTGGTGCTTTCAGGTAATTTTTCTCCCTGGGCAACTTTTGAACTAGTAATTGTAAACAGGCCGCGTCCAGATATGTAAATCAGGTATTTACTGTCGTGGTAAATTATATTCTTAAGACCAAGTGTAAATTTAGTAAACTTATTTCGTAAGATCAATGGTAAATTTGGAACCGATATGAATTTAAATGAATTAAACTTTTGAGTTGTTCCTCTCTTTAATGAGTACACAGTCTGAAAACTTATTGTTTTCTTGCTGCTTTGAGAGTAGTAACTTGAAAATTACTGTCACATTTATTGGTGTTGTATTTGTTTATTTTGCACTTAATAACTTTTCTGCAGCATGGTGCGTTCTCCTGACTCGGGACAGCATGAAAGCAAAAGGGACACCTACTTTTCCCACGACCACTTCTGTCTCTGCCACCTGTTCACCTATGAAGACTTAGACGACGGAGTGATGGGCATGGCTTACAGGGCAGAAGAGAATCTGGGTCATGGCATCTGTGCGGGTAGCGGACGCCCGGCACACTTTGAAAAGAGGTTTTACACTCCTGATCCTTTTGCCATGTTAGATTTATTCATACACTCCATTAACTTTTTAACTGTTTTAAAACTACGTTTTTAAAGATGTGAAAGTGTCCTGTAATCGGGAACTAGACTTTTTTTCCCGTAAACAGCTTTTCTTGCATCTGAAGTGAAAAGTGAAGTTTTTTATTAGTGAACCTTAGCAACTGCGAGACTGCTTCCCACTTGGCCTAGAGGTAACGCGGATTTCCCTGTACCCTAAAGGTCCTTGTTTGTTTTTCAGTATCTATGAAGTTATAGAAGAAAACATATTTTCCCCTCACCTTGCATATTTTTTTTGTTTTTAATTCGCTTAAAAGCTTCTTCGGCCTTAATGTTTTCGGTTTATGTTTTATTGGCTTAGTTACCATGATTTGTGCCAATTTAAGGACAAAAATGGTTGATTAAAATTCAAAGTTATAAACCTTAATACTCAAAAAAATGTTCTGTCAACACTTGCTTATGGCATTTTTTTGTTTTCGGATCAATGAGCGGCTTGGCTTTTTTTGGGCTCAATGAACGAATTTTTGGATTAGTTGCCAATAGTTAAAAAATTGAAGACTTGTTCAGTGCTGTTTGTTGTGTTTCTTGACTATTTTTACACTCGCGATCAGCGTAGTGTATTTCTACGAACCTTCTTTTTTTCTAAACTAACTCGCAAATAAAAGTGTTCGTTCAAAGTGCTCACTTATTTGTAAATTTTAGTGTAACATTGGAAGTTCATAGCATCTGTTCTCTGCTTTATTTGTGGCTAGTGTTTGATGCCTATTAAGCGTCCATGGTTTCGTGGTTACTGTGTGAGTCTCTAGGTAGCAAGTTGGAACCCGCCGAGACTAGCTGAATTTTTATTAATTCGAGGCTTATTTCTAATTTTTCATTTTGACTGTATAGAGCTGCTTTTTGTTGTTTTCTCGCTAGTGTTTGTGAAGCGAAGCTTCGCCTCTGAGTTTGAAGTTTTTGACAAAATAGTTTTTTCTATTTTGTTATTTCCGTCTTGTTTTCTTAACGCTAGCTTGCTATGCTGTACTTGCGGTGTATCGCAAGTAATGTGAAACTCCGCTTCGTCTCTGTGTTTTAGCTTTTCTTGGCATTTTTCGCTAATTGAACATTTTTTTACCAAAGTTTTAAGCAAAGATCGACTCATAGATAAATTTCAAAATTCGAATGCATATGCGAATCCAAGGAATCTGCCATTTCATGCATCTACGTAATTTATGTAAACTAGGAAACAATTTAGTTCTCTGAGAACTATTCTGTTTTTAGAACTCGCCGTAACACTGGGCTCACAACGATGTTTAACTGGGGTTCAGCAATTCTGACTCAGGCGGCGGACTTAGTTACAGGACATGAACTCGGGCACAACTTCGGAAGCAATCATGATCCCCCTGAGTGCATTCCGTCTTCTAACCGAGGGGGTGCTTACTTGATGAATGCCAGGGCTGTCAGCGGTTTGCAAAGGAACAACAGATTGTTTTCTCCCTGCAGTCGAGCCTCTATTGGAAGAATTTTAGGTCAGTTGAACACGAGTAGACTATCAGCAGTCCGCTACGATGAGTATCGATTCGGATTGGGCTCGATTATAATAGATACTATAGGTGCATTTAAACCTATAAACTTCTATAAACTACCTCTGCTAAACTTCGAATTTTATGTTGCTTTAAAATAAGACGTTGGTCTAATCAGGGCTGTTTGTTTGATTCACGATGATATTTACACAAACGAAGCGTTGAGTGATAGTGCTTGGCAAATACAGGTGTTCACTATTTTGTGTTCACGTGGCTGAGTGCGTGAGACTCATAATCTCCTGGTTGCAAATCGAGTTCGATACGTTGCCGAATTTTAGCTCATTCGAGGCTAATTCCACTTTTTTTATTGCACTTTATAGAGCTGCTTTTTTGTCGCGTTCCCGCTAGTGTCTGCGAAGCGCAGCTTCGCCTCTGTGTACAAATTGTAACTTGCTACGAACCATCACTCATTACGAACGTAATACGTTGAACTATTTTAGTCTGCGAAAATCAAACACGTCCATTGAAAAAATTACGCTTCTTCTGATGCGAAATAACTGTTAGGCAATGTTATTTCATTTTAAGCGTTTCAACATTTTGTTACGTCCATTTTTGATTTTTCGCGGTTTGGCTTTCGATTTTTTCAAGTTACGTTTTTTTTTTATTAAAAGGATGATAAACGCCTCTATCGAGCAGCAAAACTGTAAATTTCACGATAATGGGTTTCAATTTTCAGGTTTCACAGTGGAATAAAAAATTTACCAAACTGGGTTAATTTTAGCAAAAAAAGTGTCTGTCATTAATCGCGAATGAATTCCAAAGAGCTTTTCTTCGAAATTTGAAAAGAAATTATTTTGATCAAAAAAGAAGTCCGTTTTTTGTTTCGTTGCGTTCGGTATCTTTTTTTCAACTGTATGTTAGCTATGTTTTTACAGAAGTCTTCATGGACTTCTTTGAACTTGACTAGTTTTCTAAAAACTTTTGAAGTTTGCTTAAAGCACTTTGTTTATGTGAAGTTCCTATTTGCAGAAGCATAGCTTGTGTTATAGTATGAACTTTCTTTTTTTCCAACCTAAGTCGCAAATATTGTTGCGACAAAATGTGTTCATTTTGAAGTGTTTGTTTTGATACAGCTATTAAGTACAGCCAATGCTAAGTATATTAACACAGTTTATAATATTACAAATAGCACTTTAGCTTCAAGGTATCATGGATCTGTAGCGTAGGGACCGAGGGGCCAGCAACAAAATGAGAGGGTTCGAACCTGGGCAGGGTCGGATATTTTAAATGAACTTTTTCGTTTTCTTGTTAAAATGTGTCCGCTCTCCTAATTGAGGCATGTTAGTTGGTAAGTTTCCTTTTTTTTTCAAATTGGCTGGTACTACTAATGCGTCATAATTGGTTTGTGTCAATTAGCAATATGTAGACTCATAATTGGCGTGTGTCAATTAAGAAATTTTGTAGACTCAATGTTTTACTCATTCAGTTTTTCCCAGTAGCGTTATCAGTCATATTTTGCTTGTGTATGCGAAGTGCAACTTCGCCTCTGTGTAAAATGAACTTGTTAACTCAGTTGAAAATCGCTTTCCTATATAATAGTGGAAATCAGGGGCGGATCTAGGATTTTCTCGAGGGGGCGGTTTTTCAAAATATTTTTAAAAGTTTTGGCGACCTTTTTTTTAGGTCATCCAAATTGATTTTCCGAGCTCTCCTAGAGCACTAAAAAGACGCTGTTGTGGCCACATTTTCTGCGCCGGATACCAATTATCGAAAAAACAGGCCAAAAAAGACGTTTTTGGGCACTTTTTGGAAAATTGTGGCAAAAAAAATCGAAAATCGTGTTTTTTTTCGGCGCGCGCTCCCCCTCAAAGTTAGAATATATTGGCGCCTTTAGAAAACTTTTAGGGTCGGTCAGCCAAAAATGGATTTCTTACAAAGTACCAAAGGGGGACTCTTTGGGTCGGCAGGAGGTCGAATCACTGAAAAGAAGCATCCAACCCCCCCCCCCCCCCTCACACCTAAATCCGCCCCTGGTGGAAATGATTCGAAAATGGTACCGGACTTAGTTTTTCGACAGGATTTTAATTTTGATAATTTCCTAATTTCCAGGCGAGTAAGTAAATTACCTAAAGATCCAGCTTTTTCAATAAGGTTACTTATCTGAAAAAAAATTGTAAATTGTCATGCATAAAAAAGTCCATTCTATAGAGTTTGAAAAATCTGTGTTTTTTTGTTTCCAGGAGTTCTGAAACGCTTTTCTAACTGTCTGTTGGCTATATAAAAACTGATGCTTGGTTTTAGCAAATAGAGCAGACGAATGTTTCGTGTGGGAGAGTGACTCGCATGTTGGCTACTGTGGGAACTCCAAACTTGATCCAGGTGAAGCGTGTGACGAGGGTCGGCGACTGCTGAGTGTAGATTACGACACTGGATCTAATGTATCCTCGCCAACTGCGCGTTGCTGCAACGATTACTGTCAGCTAATAGGTACCTGAATTCAAATTCTGATGCATGTATATATCAGAGACGATTGGCGTAGGCGAAATAAGCCCACAAGCCTACAATAAAAGTTTTATTTTTTGAGTGAACAAGCGTGGGACGGATCACGATCTCATGCATCAAGAAATCGCTAGCAATTCATGCTTAGTTTTGTATATCACCGCTTAAGTGATTCATTTCGAAATAGTGCTTCCACGATGGTCAAGACAGGCCATTTTTTTCCAAGGATATTACGGGGTACCATGTGTTAATAGATGACTTCCAGTGCTCCGACATGAACGAGAGGTGTTGCAGGGGATGCTACTTCTCCCCGCCTGGTGAGGTGTGCAGAGAGTCCTCTGAACTGTCTTGCACCCATTCTTCCACCTGCACTGGGTCTTCTGCACAGTGTCCAGACGGGAAGCCACACTTGGACGGTACAGAGTGCATTAACCATGGAGTGTGTCATAAAGGACAGTAAGTTCACTGTATTCGGCAAAGTCCTGTTCAAAATAGTTGCCGACGACACAATAGAATTCCAGCGTAAATAAACCAGCCGAAATATAAACCAACCAAAATTGTGCAGTTTTTTAGCCAGCCGAAAAGTTGGATCATGACTTTCGTGACTTACATAGTTTTTCCATAACTATTTTATAACAATTGCGTTGGTTCGGTCGGTTTATACTTTGGCTGGGTCATATACCACCAGGAGTTTCGGCTTGTAGGTTATAATCGAAGTTTTTTTTGAAAAGCTAATTTATTTTTTCAATTCCTTGACATTTCAGATGCTCGTCGTATTGCTACTCAGTCGGACAGGAACCATGTGAATGCAACATGTTAGTTGAAGGCCAATTTACCGTATCTTCCTTCCCGTCCACCACCCGACACAACCATCCGAAGTCGTCGTCGTGGCAGAAACCGTCTCCGCAATGCGTGCTCTGCTGTCAGGATGTTTCATCGAATGGGTCTTTAGTGGGAAATTGTAAACCAGTGGCGGATATCATTGCAGAGCGACTCGTGCAATATTATGTATACCCTGATTACACAATGTGCACTGGTATGTTCACTTCTGTTGAAACACAATTAATTCAATCGATCTACACAATGGCGGACAAACTCCCCCTGATTTCCCATATTGTTGAATAATGGCGGCTTTAAACTTTTTTAATGAGCAAAGAGAAAGCATTGTTGTATACAATCTAGCGCATAATGTGGAAAAGTTCGATCTTGTGATCAGGCTCGGCAGACCTAAAATTTTCTCCGAGGTTCGAGTTCTTCGAAAATTTTGTTTGCTGCAGATTTTTTTTGCTTGACCAAATCTATTTTCGGAGCTCTCCTAAAAAAAACTATTACGATCCTATTTTGACCATATCTTCTGTGCAATTTCTTGAAAAAGGACTGAAAATGTTCTTAGGCACTTTTTTTGAAGGTTTTGACCAAAAATTGCATTTTTTAGGTGTGCGCACCCTCAGTATTAGTATATATTGAAGCCGAAGGTGCATTTAGAAACGTCTGAGACCGTTCAGCGACAAATGGATGTCGTAAAATCATACGATGACGTCCGCACATACATTTATGACCACATAAGAAACATTTTTTTCTTCAAATATGCCGTTTTCGTCAGTGGTGTGATAAGATGATCTGAACGAAAGACTAGGCATATTCTATAGAAATAATTAATTAGGCATATGCGAGGCGACAACCTTTTTCCTCGAAAAGTGAAAAGAAAAACAAAAACATTTTTTAAAAACCTATAACATTTCATTTTATAAAACTTTTCCTTTTTTACCCTTGCGATAAGCAAGGTTATTGCAATCGGGTACCAGACGTTTTTCCGTAAATGACTTTTTAATGAGCAAAGAGAAAGTGTTCAAAGAGTGGTCAAAATTAGAAATTAGGACCTGTTCAATTTTTCAAACGGTAAATATTCCGTTTCGAAAAATTCTCGGCCTCATTGTTTCATTTGACAAGCAAATAAAGTTTCATATGTGTGTTTTGAGGGCGAGGAGTACGTATTAATTTTTTTAAGTCTTAAGTCTTGTTGATTTTTTTCGGCTGAAACGGTTTCTGCTACGGTGTTTTAGGCTTTGTTACCGCGTGGTAAATTTTTTTCCGATGCTAATTTCCCGTTCTATTGCTTTGGCGTTTTTTTTTCCAAACTGGCCTTATTCATTGTGATCGTAGCGTCTTTTTTGTTTTGTATCGCAAGTAGTGCGAAGCTCAGCTTTGCCTCTGTCTTCACGTGAAGGTGCTAAAATGTGGTTGGGGAAAGTAATTTTTTTAAGTTATGACTCCCAAATAAATTTGGAGTAAAACTAAGTTTTTACGTTTCATATAAAAGTTATCTTCCAATATAAGCCTGCTCGCTCGCTCTATGCTCTATTTGCTCGAAAATTAGAAAAAAAATCAAAAATTTTGAACCAATTTTCTTGACTTAGAGAAATTTTGTTAAAGATTTAATTTTAGTTCGGATCGCCACTGAGAGGTCTTAAATAAGACATATCACTCGATCTATTCTGATCATTATATTTGGGGTACCTGAGTTTTGTGGAAAGCAATAAATATTCTTTCTTAATTTCAGTGGTGGGAACAAAATTATAATTCAGAAGATAACAAAAATGAATGCTATATGCCTTGCTTACTTTTAGTTTACCCTGAAAAATAGTATGAAAAACATTGAATGTCGTGTCCAATGAAAAAATAAAAGTTTCAGGAAACAACCTTAATATTATTATCTCCAATACAAAATTTAATTGACAAACAGCAGCCAGTGTTAGTGTTATCAACAATAGTTCTAGGGACATAAAATTGAGTCTACAGGTATTTGCTCCTAAAAACAAAAAGGGAGAAATTGAGAGTACATTTATTATGCAAACGAGCTATAGCGAGTGTCGTGTCATATTACGAAGATTTTTTACAACCCAACTCGCAAATAAAAGTGCGCATTTTGGCACTACATTGGCAATTTAAAATCATCTTGCTTAACTGCTATTTTGTTGGCTCTTGTTTGACAATTGTCATGCGACTATGGCAGTGATGGGAGACTATGAAACTCCAAGCCGAGGGTTTGCTTCCGATACAAGTCAGAAGTTTTTTTTTCATTGTAAAACCTATTTAGAGCTGCGTTTCGCTAGTTTGAAGAGTCGAACAACGTATTTCTGACTATTCTATAGGTCATGATGGTTTTTTTTCTTTCGGTTTTTTAGAATCGGTGAGCGTAGTTCAAACTGTGAAATAGGTCGCGATGATTTTTTCAGGCTCAAATTTACGTTTCAGTGGTTTAATTTTTGATTTCTTTTAAACTTCAGATCATTTTGTTTGTTGAAAGGAAGACAAGCTCCACTATTGAGCAGCGCGCTATCGAACAGGGAAGCGTAAAGTTCACGAAAAACTTGATCGAGTTCTAGTTTTGAAAGTGGAATTTAATTATCAATTTCCCTGCGAAATAAAAATTCACGTATTGATTCAATTTTCTGAAATAGGGTTAATTTAATCAAAAAAAGTGTCAATTGTAAATTGTTTTGGAAATTTGAAGAGCTTTCAGGGCATCTACTTTTTTTTACAATTCGAAAGTTGAGATTTCTTTAAAAAACAAGTCAGTATTCTTTTTTTGTTTACTTGCGTTCATTGACTCTTTTTCAACTATGTTTTTGCTATGTTCTCCTTTGTGCTTCCGAAGTGCAGCTGTGCAATTGTTCGAAATAATAGAGCGAAATTGGTCGTAGATTCAATAATATAGGTATGAAATTGAGACTAAGTTTAACAGTGATCAGCCACACCGCAACCTACAATGGCTTGAACCGATCACTGATCGTATTGTTTAAAGTGACCGTCGCAAATCCGACCTGTAATGATTATGAATTAATGATTTTTCGGTTTTTTGCTTGATCGGCTTGTTACGCCTCATTTTCCATGCCCATATCGGTTTTTGTCTGAATTTTGTTTGTAGTTTTTTTCTAATCTATAGTAATGTAGTCTCATTTTCCTAGCCCCAATAGTTCTATTAGTTTACCTATTATGAGAAGGTTACACTTAAAAGTAATAATGATAATTAATTTTTTACAGTAATTTAAGACTCTCAAATTAAACAAAAATGGCCATATTTTGAAAACAAGAAGACGTCCTGAATTGATGATTTGCGTCTTTCACTAGCTGAAAATTGGAATGTTTTCAATCATGTGTATGAATTAATTAATGAGTTTTTTGAGTTATAGGCGGAACGTGTCAGAGAGGAAGATGTGAGTCTAATATGCACAACGATGTCCTAGACTACGTCTTCTCCGCCTTTCGAGGCGACAATGTCTGGCAGCAGTTAATTAGTCTCTTCTCTCAGAACTGTGTGTTCTCAGTGGTACTCTTAACTCTCCTATTCTACTTGCCAATCTGTCTCTTGTTACACTTCTGCATCGACAGGCCAATTCTGAAAATGAACAGAAAAACTACCAATTCCTATATTCGAAGAAGGGCAATTGAGGATATTCCTAGGTTGAATCCACCAAAGAGTCCCTCTCCCATTTCAGAAATGGATGCGCCTATTGTGGCATTCTTCCACAGGCTGCACTCGACCAGCCACAGTTCGGGCGAGGGATGTCAACCGGTGCTCGAAGTGCAGATGGAAGATGAATTCAATGAAAGTCAATTGTAAAAATTGTTTTTTCTGTCTGTTAACCTTCCTTATATGATTGCATCTGATCCAAATCATGATTTCATTTGTGGAGAAAGTAGTTTAAAAGTTGCGTTTTGCGTAATATAATAGCAGATTAGTCATAAAGTAACGAAAACGTTCTTTGACAACAATTGCATTTTTGCTCGTCGAATTTTTGGTACATTATAGTTTTTTTCTAAATGTTAGGACTCAGATTTCTTGATCGTTTCTTCTGACAAAATGTTTGTTTTATATTGAAAAATGCAGGCATTATTTATGAAATAAGTTATTTGTTTTTTAAATTTTACGCCATACATTTTTCGGTCCGTTTTTTTTCGTTCGAAATTTCTTCAGTATGATACCTCAATCGACTTCAAAAATTTTTCGAAATGATGGGTTTGAAGTTCTTTGATCTTCATGTTAGACTGTCGGAGCATAGATCTGGTTGCTTTGTCGTGATCTAATTTAATTTTAAAATATTAATAGAGAACTAACGCTTTCGGATCTATAACGATCTACCGTGGTATCTTCTGAAAATCTCCCCCAAAATCGCAAATAAAAACAGTAAATTAGCTCTTTTTTTTTCGGGCAAAAATTTTGATTTTACTGCACTCTGATTGATCAATTCACTTAATCAATTTACAGCAAATTCTTGAAATTAGGGGGAGGGAGGATATTGTTAAGTAGATTTAAGTAGATCCCGCTTTCTTCATTTTAATAGTAAACTAAATTCTAGAAACAGTTATTCCGGTAAAAGTATTCTGAGTTAGCTACTAAGCGAAGTTTTTTGTTTAATTTAAGCTCTCAGATAAATATTTCAGGTTGCCGGATGCTATTTTTACAGCTTGGTCCAGTTGTTTTTCAAAATGCAAACCAAACAAAGTTGAAACCAAAAACCGTCCAAGTTTTATGATTCACTTTCATTTCGTGTTTAGTCATTAGTCCTGTTTCTAATACTAATACTGTCTTTTGTTGGCGGCCTTAGATATATAAATTTCAGAATTCATTTTTTATAGCACTTGTCCAATAAAACTTGGATTAAATTGAGGCCCAATTTGGAGTTATTTTGCGTTATTTGCACGGAGCTCGGCATTTTGCTTGCTGTGAGGAACTTAAATTAGGAGTCTATTGTTTCGAATTAAGATAATGGAAGCTATAGTCATGCTGCCTTCCTAATCCTACAGATGCAATATTATACAGAGGAGCAGATAATTAGAATCAAGTGCCATCATTATCGACCAACGTGATAAAGATAAGATGCTTTAGACATTTTTGATTATTTACATCAACTTATGCAGTTCTCGCTGTTATTAAATCGCCAGTATTCTAACCCATCCTCATTAAGATATTCAGCTATTGAAATCGAGTCGCTCAACTACCCCTTAAAAAGTTGAAATGATGCGGTTTATCGTTATTTGTTATTTGGACGACTGGTTGGTCGACCTGGTCCTGATCTGTCCAATGGGATATTCTGTCTTAATTAGCTACGAACCATATGTGCAAGAAAAATTATAATCACTATCTTTCTTTACTTTTTGTTTCCGTATCTGCCTTCGTCGTCAGTTTAGATAGATTCATTTTGACATAAATACAAATCATTTTTCAATTTCAATAATTTTATAATAAATTGACATGTTGAACATGATTTCTGCCGAAAACCGTCTTTTCCTCTAAGTTGCCGTTTGATTCAAATAGCCTTGATTAATGCACATCTGATTCCTTGCTTTTTATGGGGTTGTATTCCAGTTAATATGGCTCCTTCTAGTGACAATGGTCCTGGTTCAGCTTAAGCAGACGAAAGTAAGGTTCCACTCAAAAATCTTCGATAGCTGAACTATGAGCTCTTCGGCGCCGAAAGATGCTGCATCGGGATCGGACGATCCAAAAGCAAAACAGCTGTCCGATTACATCAAGAACACCCACGAGCAGCTAAGAAAGGCTTGTGGTCAGTTAGTATTTACTAATTTTGTCGTCAAATTACTAATTTCGTTAAAAATTACTAATTTATTTAAATAGATTTACGAATTTCGTTGCTCAAAATTTTGCCTAATTTTTCTAAATTTTTTAATGAGCACCAAAAACAGAAAAATATTAACTTTTACTGATTAATACGGCCAAATTGATAAAAACAATTATCAGAATTGTCAATCATACCAAGAAAAGGTATAAATTATTCATGAATTGAATAATTTCGTCAAGTTTTTTTTCATTGATGTTTTTTAAAAAACCTCGATTAAATTACTCTAATAAATATTAGTTTCTTTGGTAATATTGACTATTATTATACATAATTTATCAATCAGCTTATAAAATCAATATTTTTCTGTTTTTCTGCTCTTGGACCCATTCTGCTTATTGACTGGCCACCGATAAAATGCTTAATGATTCTTCAAAATTGCTTGTTTTCAAAATTAGCCAGAAGGTGGAGAACAATTAGATGCCTGAGTTTGATTAATTTTACATGTGTTCACTCCAGTAACGTAGGACGGCTAAAATTTTATGTTCATCATAAGTGATTGAAATGAAATGCTTTTTTTTGTTGTTTTTGTAGGCCAAGGACGAGACTTCTCTCAAGTATGGATTGACCATTTGGCCGACGAATCTGTCAGACGGCAGTATGCGAAGTCCATGCATCAACTAGCTAGTAAATACTGGGAGGGAGGGGCGGAGAATTGTCGTGTGGAATGGTGCTACGAAACTCTGAAAAACTATTTTTCCAATTCTATCAGCCAGCATATCGAAAAAGATCTGAGAATTGCATGCTTTGAAATTGACGCTAAAAGTGACACCTCAATTGAAAACGAACAGATTTTAAGTGAATTTAAACGGAACTTGGATGAATTTCCGGAAAAATCATCATGTAATTCGATCAAAGAAGTTCGAGATAGCTTTAGATCCGAAAAAGACTCGGCAAAAATTGCGCAACTGACAAAACAGGGAGGAGAGTTGCTATTTGGCAGTGCTTTCTCCAAACCTGAGTTTCATGAGGCCAAGAAACTTCTGGACGTTGGAAGTTGCTACAACCCTTTTTCACAGCTAAATGACTGTAATTTAGAAGTAGTAGCAGTTGATTTGACCCCAGCATCGAAGGTAAGTTTTGGATACCTCCTCATCGATAAAAAGCATATTTAGATTTTAAGATTCATTCCAAGCTCGCGACATAATAGCAAGTTGACGTAAATTTTTAAATATGACAAGGACACTGTAGGAATGGAAACTAGGTCTAGATTGAAGCCATTCAATTAGTAACCTATTAATTTCATGCAGATAAGATGGTTCTGCAAAGTTAATCAGCCACTTTCGTTCAAAAAAATCAAATTCTTATGCTAATCAGATAGCGCAAAGCTTCTAGTTTCAATTAGCTTTCTATTCTCTTTTTTCAGTGCAGTCCGTTTTTAAAGTGGATTTTGTGAACATATCAACCAGTTTGGATTGTTCATGCTTCGATTTGAACGAAGAAGATCTTTTGACATGCAATGATGAACGTTGTGTGAAATGTTTACCGGAAGCTGCTTTTGACGTGGTCACATTTTGTTTCCTTCTGAGCTACATACCATCCCCAACTGAGCGGCTGAATTTCTGTGCCAAGGCTCGAAAGGTGTTGAAATTTAACGGACTGTTGATAATTACGGAAACACAGAGCATTACCCCGCACAACAACCTGATGTTTATGAAGCAATGGAGATGTGAAATTGAGCAGTTGGGATTTAGAAGGATTTGCTACGAATCAAAAGCTCATATACATGCCATGGCGTTCAGAAAGGTCCCTAAGTGGCTAAGGAGATGTTCTTTTGTGGGAGATGACGTGCCTAAAACGAAGTTGAACAAGAAACCCATTTACAAAATACAAGGCTATCTATCGATTAATCAGGACATTCACAGTCATATACAGATACAGGGAGATGATGACTCTAGAGAGTGCCCCAAGCCTAAATCGACATCGGTTAAGCATGGGGAGGAGCAACCTAGAAAAGGGGATGATGAGGATGAGGGAGATAGAGCTAATATTCCCCAGCCACCCCACAAGAAACACAGAGCGGAGGGGAGGAAGAAAGGGGCAGTTAAATGGGACTAATTCTGGACTGGCATCCCAACGGGATTGGGTTATATGGTTGGAGGCTTTTACAGACCTCAGAGCAACGCATTGTAAGGGACGAAAAAAGAAGTAAAGATATGGATTGCAGCTCTATCGATATGGAAATGGACCCGAATATACCTATTTCTCTACTCTTAAGTAAGAATGAGGTAAGCAAATTTGGTTATATTTTATATGCAATTTCATTAGATCTATTCGCTCTTCACTTTCCGGCGTCATTGATTGGCAAAGGGAAATAATGCATTAGGCATAGCCTAAATTTAGGTAGACAATAGGTATTTCTTTTCGCTATATCTTGCATGTAATTTAGGATAAGAGTTTGATACGTGTGTTGCGTATTGTGTAATACTGCAAGCGAAGCACCTGATTGCGAGAGATATGTACTTATAGGGGTTATATTTGGAATAATAGAATAATCAAATATCCCCTCTTTGTGCATATTCCTCTAATCGGCGCATGAAATGCAACAAACCCTGCTCGCAACACAAATACCACTCGCAACAACAGCGGCAGTGGTGGGATTGAAGTCAAAATTTAGTGAAAAGTGGCTAAGATCCACGTCTATTTCCTTTCACGCACTCGTTTCTGCTATATTTCTTTTCAGCATTAGCCCTCATGTATGTGTCTATCTCCCCTTCCCTTTTTATGTGCTCTAATCCTACCTTGCCTTTGCCTATTAGCGAGATTTCTAGTAGTAGTTCTGGATTGGCCAAGCTTACAGCGTGTAGAAATAGCTTGTCGTGTGGTGTATCGTATGCAGAGAAAGGATAGTTATCGATCAGAAAATAGAGTGTGCTATATGCTTTTTGCAGAGCTCCTCGCAACGCAAAGCAAGTGCCATTTCCTTTGTAATGCAATTGCGATATAAATTTGGTTAACGTGGACATAAACAGTCACTACTAGCTACATAACCTACCCTACCTCCCGCGAAGGAGAGTTGTACTAGTAGCGGAGTTAGTTAGTTGGGTTGGAGGAATCCCAACTTTTCCATTGGGCAATAACAATCTAACCTGTGCCTTAGTGCAATGTTCTCTCTGTTTCTGGCTCCTTTCATTTACACACAAACTGGAAAAGACAGCAGCACCGTGCGCGTCCGGACTTTTACCCAGTGTGCAATTCCATTAACCTGTTCCTGTACGCAGAGCCAGAGCGTGGACTGCTCAAGCAAGACCGGCAAGACTAAACCGGCGCACGTTAAAAAGACAGGGTAGCAAGAGAAGCAAGCCAACTCAAAATTGCGAAAGTGCATTTCATTTCATTCATTCATTGTGTTTGCTAAATTTACGCATTCCTCAGCCGGCTTTGCTCCTACCGCTACTGCAGCTACTGCAGCTACTGCTATCCTATCAACATATGAACTATCGCCCTGCCGCGCTTTTCTTCAGAATTCTTCTCTCCTGTCGTTTTGTGCTGTGTTGCGTCAAACGACGTCGCTGATCAGAGCAGGAATCTTTGGGGATTGCCCTGTCTTGTGTTGTCTTGCTAACGATTGCCTACCCGCAGCAGCAGCAGCACTGCTCAAATACACAAAGAGATTTTTCTTCTCTGCAGCAGCGCAGGTAGTATTGCAGGTAGAACCGTTTCACTTCACTGAAGGTAATGATTAACAACACTTTCTATTTACAAGCTTAACTCTGCTCCCTGAGAATTTATCAACTTTCTTTCTGCTTAACCCTTTGACAACAATTTCTAAATTCTGTCGCGACCAGCTTTAAAGTTTCACTGCAAATTTTTGCTCGTCAAGTTTAACTGTATCAAAGTTTGATTTGATCTCAAATTTATCAGCGGGTTGATAATAATATTATTGGACTGTTTTCTTATAACTCAGCTAGTTTTTCTAAATGGTCAATTGAATACAGTGATATGTACTTATAGGGGTTATAGTTGACTAAAAAACCATATCGGTAACCCCTCTTAGTGCATATTTCTGTTCTCTGGACACGATAAGAACTGGCAACAGGTTTGTTTTTTTTTGTTTCTCCCTCAGGTAAGTAGTCAGTTTCGCTTCCTCGATCGCATTTTGAGCTTGTGATATGTACTTATAAGGGTTGTGAGTAAAATATTTTCAAAAATCAACCCTTTTTCGTGCATATTTCTGCCTATAGTGCACGATAACTCTTCGTCAGTGCGCCAACTGTTATATTTGATAATTGCAAATAAGAGTTATAGATTTTTGACTGATTTGAAGAAGCACTTTTTTCGTTTGTTTCAGACGTCAGGACAGTATGTTTACGAGATCCGAAGAACTAAACATGGACAAGAACCACCGAGGATCGAGATGATACAAAGAGCGCAAGTCATACAAATGCTGTAATTAAAATCAATCTATTTGTCCTTAAATCTTCTGTTGATGGAATGAATTTTCGTGAATGTATATGTGCCGAAATAGTTCAAAATATAAATTCTATTGATTTTTTTTTCTCGGAATTCATGTCAAGATAAATACTTATGCTAAAAAGATGCACTGAAAACATTTAAACGGAAGTTGCACATATATGGCGAATATATAATATGAACTTTCATTATTGCAAAGCTTTGGAACACATAAGCTAGTCCGTAGTCCTACTTTATAAAAATATGGCGTATCACTGTGCAGAAAGGTCAGTTAGCCGAAAAAGAAAATGTGGCAGTTTGCCGAAAAGCGAAAGCATATCAGTCTACCGAAAAACGCAAATTGTTAGACGTTCCTATTGGCTAAATCTCTGTTGCGCAAAAGCGAAGACATTATCAACAGAAAATGAAAACAATTGGTCAAGAAAATCAATTGTAACAATTGGTGAAGATATTTAAAAAAAGTTTTATTTTTTAAAATCGGTTTGGATTTTTCCATTACCCGGTTTAGATTTCGCATTATTTGATAATTTATTTATCTCTTGATTCTAATCGTTCATTATCAATTTTAGCGGCCTGGATTTATTCGCTCTTTAAGATTTTCCGAAATTTCTGAAAACGTAATTAATATTTTCCCGCCAAAATATGGTAAAATACAAAAACCATAATTATGTCATTCCGCAAATGTTTGATCTAACGTTTCGCCTTTTCGGTAGACTGATAATTCAGCACGATTAAATCTCAAATGGCATAATTCACAAATCGCGTATAAATGAAAAATTCCGAAATGGCATAATTTCTATGCATTGTGCTTTGAAAAATGTTTTGCGGGACCTTTTTTGTGAACAAGGTGTGAAAAGAAATACAATTGTGAAACAAACTTATAAAGTTGTCAACAAACTTAGAAAAGAAAACAAACATTCGTTCGTGTTGAATTTTTTCAGTAATAAAGCAAATTCTTTTTTAGTTGTTTTATAGTTTTTTTTAAAGGAAAGCCAACTACGCTTTTCTATAACGAAATCGGATCAATTGAGCAATCTCCCCCCATCCCCCATTCTCGCTTGAGGGGGGGGGGAGATAAAGCTCAATAGGTTCTTGAGACATGTTTATAAACACTTGAAAATAGTTTGGATGATATGAAATCATAAACAGATTCTCCAACGAATGAGGAAGGCCAAAATTTACAATATCAAAGCTCAAAAATTACAATCAAAGTGAAAAAGAATCAATAAATTTGAGGCAAATAAAGCTACTTTTTTCTGTATTCAAAGGATGAAAAGTGATTTGCACACAATATTAAGGTGCTGCGGAGAGCAATGTTGAATATCCAGATCCAAGGCTAGAGCATCAACCCTGATAATTCGCTTTCTGATGAGGCAATGGTCGCCCAAACAAAGTTTACAAAAAAATTATAGAATCGAATTTTTTTAAATAAAATTTGATTTTTTTTTTTCAAAATTTTTCTCTATAATCATAAAATAAACTTCAATCGGTCAATTGATTGCGTGCTAAGAACATATCAACCATCTTCTTGCGTTTGCTGACGTATTTTTGTAGCGTTGTACCGTTTTCGCGTGGGAGGGAGATAGCTCAATTGGTATTGGTCATTACGGGGGGGTTGGGAGATTGCTCAATTGATCCACGAAATCGCCATGGCGCGAAAAAAGGTGCTTGAAATTATGTTTCGAAAATGAATTTAAGTTTAAAGATTTTCCAGCGGAATAAAAATTTTCATATTGATCCGTCTCTCTCAAATTAGATAAGATTTTATTAAATGTCAATGAACGAAGTGAAAAAACTTAGATAGGTAGTGTACTTGCGTTTTTGTTTTGGAAATGTTCTAAAAGCCGGTACGCTCAATTGTTTTCGCGGTTTGTCTTGATTTCCTATGAAGTGAAAATCAAGTTCATTTGCCAAAACGAAGGAAAATCTCTACAAATACAAAATAGCAAATGAAGAGAAAAAACGCGACTGAACGTTTTTAGGATAAAATTGAATTTAAGTTAGGTTTTTCCAGCGGAGAAAAATATTTACCGATTGATCCTGGTATTCAAATGATTCAAATTTTGAGCTGAAGGGTGATATATTTCTTCAAAATCTGAAAAATTCAGCCTGCTCGATTTTCTTGACTCTTTCAAATGTCTGCTGATCATGTTCAAAAAGAGTCAATCATAAAATATTCTTGATGCTCAAAGAGTTTTATGGTTAAATAAAATAATTTTTTCTTGAAAATGATTTCAAAATAGTGATTTCTCATTCACGCTGTCTATAAAGTCTAGGAATTTGAAGGAGTTTTGAAGGTCTCGTGAAATATGAGGTGCATCAGTTTATGAAATGTAATCGGAATATAGATTTTTTCAGGTTAACAACTTGCTTAACACGATCAGTAAAATTATTTGACAGGTTTTTTTAAATGAAAAATGCAAATATCAAAATTTTTTTAGCCTATTGTTTATCTACTCATGTTTTTTCGACTTCGATAGCATCTCACGGCTTTTTCTTTTGTTTTAAGCGTTTTTCATTAGCATTGAAAATGTTTTTGTTATTTATCACTCTAATTTAAATTTTAACAAAAAATTTTGTTTTCACACCATTGGGACGGCGAGGATTGAAATGGTCATTGTATCGTAGATTGAAAATTTACTTACGTCTGAAATTTCCAAACACGCGTAGTTTAGAAAATATTCCTAATTTCTGTTTGTTTTGGCTTTTGATAAATGTAACTGAATATTTATGCTCAGTGTTTTTTTTTCAAATCACCAAATATTGTATTGTTCAAAAATAGCCTTGTCTATTATTTTCAAATTTATAGTTAAGTTGGAAGGCAGTCGTAAGGTTCAGTTGAAATATACATACAATCGCAAATGGTTCAAATATCGGTGAAATCACTGTGTCGGCAATTAAGGATATATATTCTCAACGACTATATTACAGAAACTTATTACCAGCCATCAAATCTGAATATAAACTTTTTGACTTAACAACTAATTTAACTAAATCACATGAATCATTCGGGGCAGAATATTTTCGAGGCAACAGCATATCTGTTCTGATTGAATCTCTGGCTCACAGGAGGTTTTTGAACATGTCTGCATTTCAAATCAACTTTTATTAGATTTTTTCTTTGTTGAATTTAAATCAGCTTTTAATTTCTTATTTGTACCGACTTTCGAAGAAAACAGAATGTATGCTTGGTGTGGTATTTTTATTAAGTTAATTTTCGGCGATCGAAATATAGTTTTTAACAAAACATTTTTCATGCCCCATTGAAAATATCGACTCCCTAAAATCATATTGTAAACGATATTCTACCTCCGCTTTGCCATGATATACGAGCAGTCTTGTTTCGTTTTCGCCTCTTTTTTCGCTTCAGGTTTTTTCGGCATAACTTTTTTCGGCTAATGTTATCTGTTAATACGCGCTGTTTTTAAAGAATAGTTCTCATTTCTATTTGTTTTGGCTTTTCGAAAATGTAACTGCATATTTATGCTTGGTGTTTTGTTTTCAAATCACCAAAATTTGTATAGTTCAAAAATAGCCGTGTCTATTTTTTTTTCAAAATTATAGTTAAGTTAAAAGGCAGTCGTAAGGCTCAGTTGAAATGAACAGTCGCAAGTGGTTCAAATCTCTGTGAAATCACTGTGTCGGCATTTAAGGACCTTATCAATGATATATATATATATATATATATATATATATATATATATATATATATATATATACTCAACGATAATATTACAGAGTCTTATTACCAGTCATCAAATCTGAATATACACTTTTTGGCTTAACAACTAATTTAACTAAATTACTTGAATCATTCGGGGGCAGAATCATTTCGAGGCAACAGCATATGTTTTGATGGAATGTCTGGCTCACAAGAGAAATGTCTGGCTCACAAGAGAATGTCTGGCTCACAAGAGCATGTCTGCATTTCAATTACTTTTTTTTCGATTTTTTTCATTGTTGAATTTAAATCAACTCTTAAATTCTTATTTGTTCCGACTTTTGAAGAAAACAGAATATTTATGCTTGATGTGGCCTTTTTTGTTCAGTTAATTTTCGGTGATCGAAATATTATTTTTTAACTAAATATTTTAATGCCCCATTGAAGATATCGACTCCCTAAAATCAAATTTTAAAAAATTATTTTACTTCCGCTTTGCCATGATATACGAGCAGTCTTGTTTTTTTTCGCTTCTTTTTTTCGCTTCCAGGTTTTTTCGGCATAACTTGTTTTGGCATATGTTGTATCTCCTAATTTGCCTTATAGGTCGTTAAATTCTTTTGTGCTGCGTGGGGGGGGGGCGTAAAACATATAGTTCAAGCTGTTTTTGTTCACTTCATAACGGTAGTCTACCCAAATATTGTCTGCTTTGTTACTGCTTGATAACTTTAGTTTTTCAATGACTTTTCAACAGCCAGTTTTTCACTGGCATTTGTGTTTCCCAGCATCTTTCCTCAAATTGGACTGCGTTCGATATAAATGTTTAAAAAAATTATTCGATGTTTTCTTTTCGATTTATTGGCTTTTGTCCTAATTTTTGCGGATAGTTGTCTTGCTGGTTTTGTGTTGTATCGCAAGTGGCGCGGAAGCTCTGCGTCGATTCATGCGCAAAGTAGTTCTTAAAAGTAGTTCTTAAAAATAAAAGAGCTTCCAATTGTTTTTAAACAATCATGAGCAATGCCTTTTTTACGCCGAGATCATGATACTTTCAATTAACCGATCTGCTCCAAATTCTTTACACGGCTTCAAAAAGTTTTTTCAGATGGTCATTTTAATCCCGTTTAAATGTTCACCAGTTAATTTATTTAGACCGCACTCTGAAATAATATTTTTTTGCTGTTAATTTTTTGAGCTTCCTGATTTTCGATAGGATGTTTTTTAACCTTGTTTGCGAATGGTATATATGATCAATATGAAAGAGTGTGCTTAAGCATTTAAATACATAGCGACATTACAAGGTTTTTTTTATTGAAAACTGTACCTCGCAATTTTTTGGATTAACTTTGAATTAAGTTTTTTCGGCTTCTAGTGTTTTGAATCTGTCCACTTGGTTTTTTTTTCTAATATCGGAGTGGT